GGAAGGGAGAGGGGGAGAGAAAGAGAGAGAGAGAGAGAATTACCAATATATGCATGTAGATATGGCAGTACAAAAAGCAACGTCAGGTATGGACAGTAATCAATACAATAATCATCAAAACACCTCCAACAATCAGTCTTTTAACAGGATCTCGCCTCCCGTTCCTTCGCAGCTCCTTCTCACGCCCCACACGCCCACCCGCCCATCCCTCCCTCACCTGCACGTGCCTCCTGTCCTCCTGGAGCTCCTTGCCCTTCCCTCCAGGTGGGCGGGGACCGGAGAGGAAAGCCGCCCTCGCCTCCGCCCACGTGACATCCGAACTGACGGAGGCCGGGGACTGGGTCGTGGGCGTCGAGGGGGCGGCGTCGGAGGTGGAGGAGGGGGAGGAGCCAAGGCGGACGGTGGGCGGGGCCGCTGCTCGCGCTGTCGTCGGAGACCTGGGGGAGGGAGGGGAGGGGAGGGGAGGAAGAGGAGGGAGAGGAAGAGGGAGGGAAAGGAGTAGAGAAGGAAGGGAAGAGTGGATGGGGGAGGGGAGGGAAGGGGTGGAGAAGAAAGGAGAGGGGAGGGAAGGGGAGGGGGGGGGGAGGGAAGAGGAGGAGAGGCAAGCAAGCAGGAGGGGAAGGAGTAGAGAAGAGAAAGAGAGGAAGAGAGAGAGAAAAGGAAGGGGTGGAGAAGGGAGGAGAGGGGAGGGAAGAGGAGGGAATGAGAGGCAAGAAGCAGCAGGAGGGGAAGAGAGGAGGAAGAAGGAGAGGAGGAGTGGAGAGGGAAGGGAGGGAGGGAAGAGGAGGAGAGGCAAGAAAGCACGAGGGGAAGGAGTAGAGAAGAAAGGAAGAAAGGAGGGGTGGAGAAGGGAGGGGAGGGAGGGATAGGAGGAGGGGAAGGAGTAGAGAAGGGAAAAACAGAGGAGGGGAGGAGGAGGGAGGGAAAGGAGGAGTGGAGAGGGAAGGGAAGGGGTGGAGAAGGGAGGGAGGGGAGGGGAGATAAGGAGAGGCAAGGAAGCAGAAAAGGAAGGGAAGAGAGCAGGAAGAGGGAGGGAAATGAGGAGGGGGAGAGAGAAGGAGGGAAAGGAAAAGGGGTGGGTAGGGAAGAGGACGAAAAGGGATTCAAATGAAGACGAGAGGGGAGAGGGAAAGGGAGGAGAGGGAAAGAAGAGAGGGGGAAGGGAGGAAAAGAAAGAGAAGGGGAAGGGAGGGAAAGGAAGAGAGGAGGGAAGGGAGGGAAAGGAAGAGAGGGGGAAGGGGAGGAACGAAAGAGAGGAAATAAAAGAAGGGAGGGAAGAGAGGGGGAAGGGAGGGGAAATAAGAGGGAGGGGTGGAAAGAAGAAGGGAGGGAAGAGGAGAAAAGAGAGAAAAGGAAAAGAGGATTAGATGAGATACAAGTATGGTTAGAGGAAAACCCTTTCAACTCTTTCTTTCAACTCTCTTTTAACAGGAACAACATGCAACTAGAAAAAAAACACATATAAGGTGCACATGTTTAAAAGAATCCAAATATTATCAATTTTCATATATACAAATATATATACATACAGTAACTATCAATCTATTTTATCTATCTTTAATCTATCTACATAATATGTCTAATCTATCTATCTATATCTATATCTATATCTATATAATATATATATATGTTATATATATATTATATATATTATATATATATATATATATATAATTTATTTATAACCTATCTATCTATCTTATCTATCTATCTATCTATCTATAATATATCTATCTATCTTATCTATCTATCTATAATATATTTTTATCTATCTATCTATCTATCTATCTATCTATCTATCCTAAATATATATCTAATCTATCAAATATCTATCTAATCTATCTATCTATAAAACTATTCTCTATCTTTTTATCTAGCTATTTATCAAATTATTCAACTATCTATCTAATTTATCTATCTAATTATCAAACGAATCAACTATCGATCTAATCTATCTATCTATCTATCAAACGAAGGAACTATCTATCTAAATAATTTATCTATCTATCTATTGTCTATCATATAAAGTAATCCTCTATCTATCTACCAGTTTATTTATCTATCTATCTATCTACCAAACGAACCAACCATCCATCAAATTCATCTATCTATCTATCTATCAAACGATCCAGCCACCTACCTGTGTATCTATCTATTTATCCATCTATCAATCTATCTATCTAATTTATCTATCTATCCATCTTTCATACGAACCAAACTATCCATCTGATTCATCTATCTATCTATCATCTATCTATCTATCTTTCTATCAAACGAACCAATCCATCAAAATTAATTCATCTATCTATCTATTTATCTTCTATCTTTCTATTAAAACGAACTAAACTATCGATCTTAATTCATCCATCTATTGATCTATTTATCTATCTATCTTTCAAACGAACCAAAATATCCATCAAATTTAATTTATCTATCTATTTATCTTATTCTCTCTAGCTTTCTATTAAACAAACCAAACTGTCCATCTAATCATCTATGTATCTATCAAACGAACCAAACTATCCATCTAATTCATCCATCTATCTACTATCTATCTATCTATCTTTCTATTAAACGAACCAAACTATTAATCTAATTCATCTATCTATCTATCATCTATCTCTCTATCTTTCTATTAAACGAACCAGTCTAAATTCATCTATCTATTCTATTTATCTTTCCAAACGAATCAACTATCCACAAACTATCCATCAAATTCATCCTTCACTATCTATTCTATCTATCTTTCTATTAAACGAACCCAACTATCAATCTAATTCATCTATCTTTTCTATCAAACGAAACCAAAACTACCAATCTAATTCATCTATCTATCTATCTGCCTATCTATTTATTTATCTGTCTTTCTATTAAACGAACCAATCTAATTCATCTATCTTTCTATCATCTATCTATCTATCTTTCTATCAAACGAACCAAACTATCCCATCAAATTATAATATC